TTAGTTGAGAAATGAGTTCGTCGTAAGCTCTCGAAGTGACGGATCCTGTACAACGGATATAGCTGCTGCAGACGGGATGGTGGTGAGCAGGAATGAGGAAGGAAGTGAAGGAGTGGGTGGAGAAGTGCGAATTCTGCTGCAGGAACAATGCAACGCTACTAAGGAGTCAAGCAGAGCTGCAACCATTGGCGATTGTGGAGCTTGGGTACCGCTGGTCTTTGGACATAGCGGGAGTGCTGCCGGTGTCTAGGAGGGGAAGGAGGTACATCGTGCTCATGATAGAGCACGTGAGTAAGTGGGCGGAAGCACGACCTCTGGTGAACAAGACTGCGGCAGTTGTGGCAAAGGCATTTGAAGAAATGGTGATTGCACTATTTGGGGCATGTGGGGAGGTACTGATGGATCAGGGGACGGAGTTCGAAGGAGAGTTCAAGGAGCTGCTGGCGTCTAATGGGATCCAACATCGCACCACCTCACGATATCACCCACAAGCAAACAGGCTGACGGAGAGGTTGGTACAGACAGTGAAGAGATGTGTACAAGTGTACGGTGAGGCACACAAGGCAGACTGGGACAAAAGGCTGGCATGGGTGATGGCGGGGTACAGGTTCAGCAAGCAGGCAGCTTTGAAGGACGTATCGCCTTACTACTTGCTGTTTGGGAAGCAACCGATACTGCCCGTGGGAGCACCCAAGCTGCTCACGGAGAGTGTCTCAGCGGGGACGGCGGAGAAGTGGGTGGCACAGGCCGATGCGAGGGCTGCTTACCTTAAGAAGATACTGCCCGCAACAATGGAGAGCTTGAAAGTGGCTCAGCTTCGAGATATTCACCACTATCGGCAGTGACATCTAGAGAAGATGCAGGGCCGAGAGCAGCCTGTGGAAGAGGGGCAGAAAGTGTATGTGAGGCGTGCGAAGCAGGACGGGTTGGATCTAGGAGTGTCCCAGCATAGGTGGACCATGAAGGAGGTGAGAGAGTCGGGAGTGTTGGTGCTGGAGGAGGAGGGAGGAAAACGAGTTATGGACCATGTGACTAATGTGGCAGTGCCTGGGAAGGCGAAGAAAGTACAGACCAGGGCGAGGACGGTGGCAGCAGGTCATGGGAGGGGGCAAGTCTGAGGGCATCAGAGAGACCACCAGCTGGAGAGGAGGAATTGAGAGCAAGAGAAGAGGGAAGAGAGGGCAGCATGAGGGGAAGGGGGAACTAAGGAGGAGGTGGTACCAAGAGAGAAGAATGCAGAAAAGGCAGAAGTCAAAGAGAGAGCGGCAGAGGGATGAAGGGAGGCGGTGAAGTTCCGACAGCTGTTACATTTGCATGAATGTGAAGGGGATAGCGGGGAGAGAACGGGGGTTGTATGAAGTATACATACTATATATAGCAAGCTGTGCAGTGCCGAGGATGGGGAAGCGAAGGTTCGGGTGGCGATTGAGGGACGAAGGGAGTCCGAAGGGTGAGATGGAGGGTGTTGTCTGCCGAAGCGAAGGGACAGGGAATGCATGGGAGCAGTGCGGGGCGTCACTTATGTAAGAGGGAAGGGAGTGCAAGTGGGAATACCGCGCAAGGCTGCGGCAGCAGAGGCAAGGAGGTTACCACCGGCACTTGGATTTGTGTGTGCTTGCATGTGTGTTTGTCTTCATGTGTGCGCAGGCAAGCTTCCAGGAGCCAGCTAGATCTGGGAAGTGTCAGCTGGAGGCAAAGTAGCTAGAGGCGGGGAACAGAGGTGGCAGGCAGCAGGGTTGTTTTTCTTCTCAAAGGCAGCAATAGCAGCTAGCGAGGAGACTAGGGAAGGACAGGAGCATGGCTGAGACAGAGCTGGTAGAATAGGAGGATACTTGTGGAGCTAGCCTCAATGCTTGTATGTTTCCTTTTTAACATGATATTCTTGCACCCGAAGAAACTAGTAACTAGAAGGAGATAGTGCAAGCAGAGATGTGATAGGAAGGTCTAGACGGCAGTGCTATGTGAGGGAGCCAGAGCTTATCAGTGTGAGGGCATCTGAGAGACCAGCAGCAGGAGAGGAGAATTAAGAGCAAGAGAAGAGGGAAGAGAGGGCAGCATGACGGGAAGGGGGAACTAAGGAGGAGGTGGTACCAAGAGAGAAGAAGGCAGAAAATGCAGAAGTCAGAGAGAGAGCGGCAGAGGGATGAAGGGAGGCGGTGAAGTTCCGACAATTACGGTATGTTCAGTTCATTGAGTCACAGCCTCGTGATCCGTAATTCAGTGCAACTCCGTTTTATAACTCATAAAACCTAGTACCGGAGTTGTTTTCCTAGTTCACCTCGCTTTTCGAGGGTAGTTTGGTGGCATAGGGTGTGGCTGGTAGAGTGGACTATATAACGGTTGGCCACAAGGTCTATTGATTCAAACCTGCCCGACTTCGATGGTTTGTGCTTTCCACTCACCTCAAGGCCACGGATCCCCTCTTGCCCACTGGACAGAGTGGTAGACTCATAGATCAGAAGGTAGTTAACAAATCGATGGCGCAAGTGGTTGAGATGCAGGAGGGCACGAAGTCATTAATTGCGGAAGTAACAACATTACTTGGAGAAATCGCGCTAGGTGAAGCGCACCATGAGTCGCCCAATGAAGAAGGCGAGGGCAACAGTCAAGCTTTGAGCGATTCGTTGGACGCGCTCACACGTGACTTCAAAGAAGAAGATAGGCAGCAGGCGGCAGCGATGCCAATTGCAGTAACGACGATCAAGTTCAAACCTGTGAGCCTGCCCCCGTTTAACCCTACGTACAAGAATATCACAGTGAAGGGGTGGCTCTTCGGCGTTGAAGTCTTCTTTACTGTAGCGAGCGTCACTGACGATGCCACGCATATTGATTACACGGTTTCTCTTTTGCGAGGCCCAGCACTTGAATGGTGGCGTCGAACCTTTGACATGGGAACCACGACAGGTGTGACACATGCGACAGACGGGACCTCAAGATCCACTAATCAAGTGGTAGCATCGATCTTCGGCATGACCATAATTCGAACGTGGAAGGAATGGGGGGCAGCCTTACGAGGTCGCTTCAAGCACATATTTGCCTTGGAGCTAGCTCCCATGAAGCTGCGTGCCTCGTCGCAGCTAGCTTCTGTTCAAGACTACACCGCGTCAATCATAACTCTTGCCGACCAAGTGGACGACATGGTGGAACCGGAGCGGTTGGACAAATACGTCAGCATTCTGAAATATGAGATAGTGTTCGAGGTCCGCCGTAACCGCTCAACTACGTTCCTCAAACAATTGGCATAATCCACGGATGGGTTGATGCAGTGGGCGAGGGCAGGTTCCCAGGAGAGAAACCGTTTTTGCGGCGAGACCCAGGGGCCACAACCACCGGATTCCACGCACCCGACCGCCCCAACAAGGTATCTCTACAGCACCTGCGAGCCCAGCCCAACCTCAACCCGCGACAAATTCGGTGGCTCGGTTGCACCGAGAGCCAGCTCACCTACCGTATTACGTACAAAATAGGGGGGAATAACACGCCGACGCCCTTACCTGCCCGGCAGGTCAACCTGCTACAGAAATCATCACCCATTCGAACCCACTACTTCTGGGACTATTCACCCACGGCTAAACTACGGACCCATTTTCATGACTCGCAATCACTAGCAGGCAATGACGCAGAAGGGGATATTACCCAAAAGCAGAGACTGACCGGTTATTGGCTACCATATGAACTCCTCATTGGCTACCATGTGAACTCCTCATTTAGAAGGTCCACGATGCCAATCTCTCTGGACATTTTGGGGTTGACAAGACCCAAAAAATGCTGCACCGTTAATATTATTGGCCTGATTTTTGTAACGATGTGTAGTGTTACGTATTCTCATGCAGGGCTTGCCAAGCTTTAAATCGACATGGCAGCGGCCAGCTAGGTTGCTGCTACCCCTTGAGCCACCCAAACGACCATGGAAGCAACTAACAATGGACTTCGTCACGGGATTGCCAGCTGGACCCTCCGGCAACGATGCTGTGCTCGTCATCGTCGATCTCCTGGCACTTCGCACCATGTCGCACGACAATCATAGCCGAAGAAACTGCGCGCCTCTTCATCTCAACCGTTGTACGACTGCACTCTAAAATTTTGGAAGAAGACATGGGCGCAGTATGGCACAAAGCTATAGTTCTTGTCGGCCTACCACCCACAAACCGACGGCCAGATCGAGCGGAACCATTAGACGATGGGGCATCTCACCCGTACAAACTTTTCCAACCCTGCTCGCTGGGATAATCCGCTCGCCACGCTAGAGTTCGCGTTCAACAATGCCCCATCCAGCATGATTAATTACTCCCTGTTTTTCCTGAATTACGGGATGGACCCAGTGGTGAAAACTACGACTACACTCGACAACCTGGTCCCACAATCACAAAGTTTTGTGATGGGACTCTAGGAGATTTGCGAGAAAGCAACTGCCCGCAAACACACAGATTTCCTATGGCAGAAAATCACCATGACCGCTGGGCAACTGGTGCTACTCGACAGAAAAATCCTGCGCCTGACCGGTTCGTCAAAGCTACTGCCACGATTTTTTTTGTCTTTACGGATCATCCAGATCGTGACACATATCATTGCAAAGCTGCTAATACCTAACGACTAGCGTATACATGACGCCTTCCATATCAGCCTCCTTTTGCAAGTTCGTGCCTGCCACCACAGACTGTCAGGAGACTGATCGAGGATGAATGCATTAAGAACAGATCTGTGTACAAGCACTAACCCTAATTGGGTTGTACCACTTATGGGCTACCCCACTACAGCCTACATAACAAGAGTACCATAAAATTTTGACACACACCCATAGGCAAAGTGGGGGAGAACAAGTGGTCACAAGACCGGTCAGGAAAAGCAAAGCGAGCTCAGGGTGGATCACAAAGTCACCACACATTCCGAGCACAAGCAAATGGCCACAAGGCCAGTTCACATGCAGAGTTATATAAAAGAGAGCAAACAGTACAGTGATCAGAAACTAGCAAGAGTAAGCATGCATGGATATATGTAGATCACAGTACAAGCAAAGTCAAGCAGTGTAAGAAAGCCGTGCTGAAGTCAAGAGAGTGAAGCTCGTAGTCACGGTGAGCGGCAACGTGCAGCAGCACCCAAAGAGTGGTCATCTTTGGGGTAGGGGAGAAGGTCTGGAAGAAGTAAACTCCCTGTCGCTGACTAAAGCCTCGTGCAACGTAACGAGCCTTGAAGACAGGTGGAGAACCCGGCAGCCGCTTCACCCTGAAAATCCACATGCCATCGACTATGTTCGCCCCAGGAGGGGGAACTGCGTCAACGTAAGTGCTTGTGGACTTCCAGGATGCCATCTCTGCGTCCATGGCTGTCTGCCACTGAGAGGAGTAGGGACCCATAATCGCCTCTGAGTAAGAGCGTAGGGTCGGGATGTCCAGTGCATCCGGGTCTCCCTCAGGTGCAAGCAGCATGGCCACGAGATGAGGTACAGCAGCTGCAAGAGACTCAAAGTCCTCCTGTTTGTCCTCAAGGACGTCTGTGCCAAGAGCACACTCACCCTTGATGGACAAAGGATAGACAGACTGAGACTCTGCAACAAGATTAGCGGCGTAGTCGAGACGACACGCAGCAGCAAAGTCAACAAGCTCAACAACTAAGGCACACATAGCAATGGACTCAAACGACGGGTCAGTGACAATAGTGGCTAGGAGACGCGTGACAGTAGGGCTGGCAGCACAAACTAGGTCAGACTCGGGGTCTGGAACATCAGGAAAACAGGACGCAGGAGGAGACGGAGGGGGATACGCTGTGGAAAAGAGGAAGGATGAAGTGTCATAGTGTGAGTGCTAGGGGACAAGAGGAGGACGCGGATGAGGAACACAGCAACTAGTGAAAATAGCACGAACAGGCAAGGCAGGACAAGATGCAGGCTCACGATGCTCTGTAAGCAAGTCTGTCTGCTTAGTGTAAAGAGAAGAAGTAGGCAGTGGGGAGTCTGGCTGGAGCAGTGGCTACGACTGGTCAGGCAGTGGACAAAATAAGGTAGGAGGAGGTTAGTAGAAGACGGGAAACTAAGAACCTGGCGAAGTACCAAGCTAGGTGGCGGCAGAGATGACGGTGGCGGTGGAACGAAAAACGGCCGCCTCTGCGCAGTACCCCTTGTATTAGCACCTCCAGCTCTTGGGTCTCCAGCTCCAGCGCCTCCAGCTCCAACGCCTCCAGCTCCAGGGCCACCAGCTCCAAGGTCTCCAGCTCCAGCGCCTCCAGCTCCAGCGCCTCCAGCTCCAGTGCCTCCAGCTCCAAGGTCTCCAGCTCCAGCGCCTCTTGCTCCAGCGCCTCCAGCTCTAGCACCTCCAGCTCCAGCGCCTCCAGCTCCAGTGCCTCCAGCTCCAGGACAACCAGATCTAGCGCCTCCAGCACCAGCGCCTCAAGCGTCAGTGCCTCCAGCGGCAGGGCCTCCAGCTCCGGCGGCGCCAATCCGAAGGTGGCTGCGCCGAGCAAACCACTCGCGCAGCTGCTGTGGTGAGAGAGGCTCTCACCGACAAAATCGCTGTGGCGAGGCACCCGTAGGACCTCCAGCAGACGCAGCACCCCTAGGGTCAGTACCCCTAGACTCAGAACCCTCTGTCTCGGCGCCCCTAGGCTTAGTACCCCCAAGCTCCGCACCCTCAGGCTCAGCACCCCCAGGCTCCACACCCTCAGGCTCAGCACCCCCAAGCTCCGCACCCTCAGGGTCAGCACCCACAGACTCAGCACCCCTATAAGCACCACCCCCAGCAGCACCAGAGTCGACAGCATTCGGCTACAGAGGCGGCGAAGACGGTCGAGGTGGAAGATCCGGAGAGTTCTCAAAGCGTGGTGAGTGGCGGGGGGCCGCCGCGTTGTCAGCAGCAACGTCACCCCCCTTAGCTGGGCCAGAGGTGTTAGAAGTGACCTTGAAAGGCTCAGCCAAGGGGAGTGGGACTACATGAGGCACACCTGAAGGAGCAGGACCTTGAGGGGGGAGGGGGTCTACCGGACAGGGACCTGGAGCGGGGAAGAGCGGCGAGAGGGGGGGGGGGAGGGGAAGTGGGGTACGGGAAGAGACGGTAAAAGGGCACCGACTCGTCATACGTGGCGTCCTGAGAGGACAGGACACGGCGCATGGTGGGATGGTAAAACTACCAACCAGGCGCGTCGGTGGGAAAGCTAAGGAAGACACTGGGAATGGCGCGGGAGGAGAGCTTGTCTGCGGGGGTATTGCGGACAAAGGCACGAGAGCCCCAGACCCGAAAAACCGACGCATCGCCAACCTCCCCCGTCCAATGCAGTGTAGGCGAGGTCTTCGGCAAGGAGACACGGGGCCAGAGGTTGAGCTGATGCGCAGCGTACCGGACCGCAAACGGCCACAGAAAATGGGGAGCAGCCGCATGAATCATGGAGGTATGAGCCACCTTCATGACTAAGCCAATGCGGCGCTCAGCAATCCCATTCTTCTGAAGGGAGGCCCGGCAGCGTGAACGATTTGAGGATGCCCTCCCCACGACAAAATTCCAACAAGAGGTCGGAGGAGAACTCACCACCTCTGTCAGAGTGCAGACGCAGGACAGGAAGGTCCCGGCGGAACTGGAGCTGGATACGGACAGCGCGGATCCAAGGGATCAAGATATCAGGGACCTCAACCTTGCTGCGCAAGGGGAAGACTATGGTGTAACGCGAATAGTCGTCAACAACCAGCAGAAAGTATCGCTCGCGGTCCTGTCCACGGACGCGGGCTGGGCCCCACACATCCATATGGTGAGTCTGCAGGGGAGCGGTTGTTGGGGGAAACGAGGAGGAGTGAGGAGCGGCGCTCTGCATGCTACCCCTCGACGCAATGAAGGCAGGGTGGGGCAGGCGAGGGTGGGAGGGGAGGCAGAGACCTGGGAAGACCAGAAACAAGGAGGCGAGAATGCATGCCACGAAGGCGTGGCAGAGAGGGGTGACCAAGGCGGTGGTGCTAGAGGAGAGTCTGGTCAGAAAGGAGGCGACACGAACAGGGGGCTGATACCGGACCTGGCGTAGACACTTGACCAGACGTAGCCATCTGAGTAGGCTCAGTAGTCAGTGTGTACAGGCTCGACCCACGCCGGCGGGTGAACGTGGCCAGGTGATTGCCCGTCCGTGTACACGTGCAGATCGCCACACGCTGACCCCCAGGAGTGTTGGCAATGACTATCGTATCCTGAAGGGCAGCGGTACTCAATAAGTTCGTAGAGAACGAGGGGAGGTGAAGACCTGACAGTGAGCCAAACGGAATTGCTGGACACGGGAGAACAGTGGAGGAACGTGCAAGAACTGGGCCCCCTGAGGGGTCAGCCAGTGAGACTGCAACAGGTGCAGGGAGCGGTGTGAGTGTGGTACTGTCGCGAAAGAAGCAGCGGGAAGCACCTGAGTCAAGCGTGAAGGTGTGGAAGACCTCAGCAGGCGCAGTACTAGAGAGAGCAGAAATCACTTGAAGCTTGAAACCAAGGCTCGGGTTCTTCATCACGAACTTATCCTTGAGTTCTTGATGGGTCTGCTGCACACACATGTGACACGCCGAACATTCGACATAGGACAAAATCGAAACCGCGCACGGGACACACGACAAAATAGAAACCGCGCGCGAGACACAAATGACCGCCTTAATACGCAACTAGCGATAACTCGCTATTGACTCGACACACACACACTCGACATCATGACCCATCATACACACACCATTATAAGCATGAAATATATATTTATTTCATGCACTCATACCATGCATGCACGCACACGGACAACAAGCCGAGTAAAAACCGTAGAATTGCACCAACACAACCGCCGCCACTGAAACCTCCACTCCCACCACCACTCCCACCGCCACCCCCACCGCCTCCACCACCGCCTCCACCGCCGCCACCCCCACCACTCTTTCCTCCCTTTCCCTTGCCGCTGCGGCGCCTCCCACTAGGAGCAGACGCAGCCCCGACCTCCTCAGCACGAAGGAAGTCAACAGCAGCAGCAGAAGCGACAGAGGGGGCAAGGGGGGAGGGGGAACACCCCTCAAAGAAGGGAGTGCGAGGAGTGCCACGAGAAGCACCTACAGCGACGGTGCTAGTCTCAGCTGCAAGGAGGTGCTTCTCGAGCAGGTCGGGAGTGAGGCCTGTGGGGTCAAGGGCGAGAAAGTGGTCCCTGACTGCGCGAAGAGAGTCAGGGAGGCGGGTGACGAGGAAGTGGAGAGTGATGTACATGGAGGGGGTGGGGGGGGGGGTGGGGTCTTATCTAGAAACTAGGTGGGGAGCGCAGCGTGGTAGGGAGTGTTGCTAGTGCGAAGGTGGGTAATGAGGTCGGCGACTGTGGGAAAGGCTGACAGCTCGGGAAAAAGGTAGGGCAATATAAGTCGGCCGAAAGCAGCAGTGGCAGGTGTCGGAGTTGATAAGACTACTTATTCTAGTGGTCTGTTCTGTTGTGCTTCATCCTGGCCTCCTTAGCGCCTTGAGTTCTCTGTTGAGCTTCTCTCCTTGTCCCCCTGCCTTCTCCACTTGCCCCCTCCGCGGTTGTCTGCTGGCCCCTGCCGACTGCCGCTGGACTTCCTTGCCTGTTGTGTGATGACCTGTTTGTTCTGTGGTTTGCCCTCTTGCCCGGGCCACGTTGGTGCAGTGGTCCGTCCTCCTTTTCCCTTGTGCCCCACGCCAGAGTCCTTGATTTCCTTCACCTTCCAGCGCTCGGTGCCGAGCCCCATGTCCATCATGTCGTGTTTCGCCTGCTTCAGGTACACTTCCTCCCCCGTGCCAAGGGCCTTGCCCTTCTCTCCGCCCTGCCGCTCCCCCCTTTTCCGGTACCGCTGAGCTACGTGCAGGTTTTCTAGTGCTGCTGGCAGGAGCTCCCTTAGGTACCTGGCTCGCGCTTCTGCCAGCCCAGCCCATTCTTCCTCTGTTGCCACTTGCACGGACCCCGTGAGAATCCTTGGGGCATCCACTGGCAGCACTGGATCTCTGCCCAAGAGCAAATAGTACGGTGACATTTCTTTCAATGCCGCCTGCTTACTGAATCGGTATCCTGCCGCTACCCATGGAAGCCGGGCGTCCCAATCCCTCTTGAACTTTTCTCCGTACGCTCTCAGTCCTCGTTTCACCGTCTGTACGAATCGCTCGGTGAGCCCGTCACTCTGTGGGTGATATCTCGATGTCCTCCTGTGGGTGATGCCCGTGGCCTGCAGCAGCTTGTCGAACTCCCGAATTCGGTCCCCTGGTCCGTGAGCACTTCCCCGCACGCCCCGAACCTCGTGAGTACCTGCTCCTCGAATGCCTCGGCTATCTTCGCTGAGTTTTTGCTCGGGAGGGCTTTTACTTCCACCCATTTGCTGCCGTGCTCGATCATGATGAGGATGTAGCGCTTCCCCCTCCTTCTCAGCGGCATTTCTCCCGCTAGGTCGAGTGACCAACGGAATCCGATGCCGTGGATGGGTAAATACTGCAGCTCTTTCTGGCCCCGCTCCAGTTCTGCTTTATTCCGACTACACGGCTCGCAATTAGTCACCCACGCCTTGATGTCTCTCCTCATCCCTGCCCACCACCAACCCGTTTCCACTAGCTGGGTGGTCCGTAGGCTGCCATAGTGTCCCAGCTGCCGGTGTACTGCATTGATAATCGGCTCCCTCTCTTGGGGCCGTGGGACCAGCTTCCATCCGTCCCGAGTGTTCTTCTGCAGCTGCTCTTGGTGCCACCGATAGTGCACTCCCCTAGCCCTGGCCCTCTCGCTAGTAGTGGTTCCCTCGGTGGTCTTACCCTGCACCCAATCCAGCACCTCCTTATCTTCCCAGACATCCGCTGGCCCCATCTCTTTCTCTCGATTGGCTCCTTCGGCGTCGAGTTCTCTAGCTAGAGCCACTAAGCAGGCCGTGGGGCGGATTGCTGGCGGGTTCCTCGACAGTCCATCCACATGTTGCATGGTTTTTCCGGCTCGGTGGCGAATGGAGAAATCATACTCCTGCAGCCGCATCGCCCAGCGGGCGTTCCTCCCCGTCAGCGCTTGATTGGTCATGAGCCAAGTCAACGGTTGGTGGTCCGTTACTAGCTCAAACTGCCTCCCTTGCAGGTAGACTCTGAAGTGCGTGATCGCCCATACTGCTGCCAGTCCTTCGCCTTCGTACGAGCTGTAGTTCGCCTCCGCTGGGTTGCAACTCCGACTTGCGAAGGCGACTACCTTCTCTTCTCCTCCTCTCTTCTGGCACAGGATCGCTCCCATACCCGCGCTGCTCCAGTCGGTGTACAGCACGAATGGATCCGCCGTGTTCGGCAGCGTCAGTACGGTAGCCGTCTTCACGGCCTTCAGCAGGGCCTGGAGTGCCCCCTGCTCTGCCTCCCCCCATTCCCACTTCTGGTCCTCCCTCAACTGCCGGTTCAATGCCGCGGCGGTCTTACTGAAGTTCGGTATGAACTTCCTGTAGTAATTAAGGAACCCGAGCACCGCGCGCAGCGTGCTCCTATCCTTTGGCTGTGGCACTCGGTCCAGGACCTCTACCTTCACCTGCTGGATCCCCAGCTGCCCTCCCTGAACCTCGAACCCCAAATATTTCACACCTGTGTTCCCGAAACTGCATTTCTTCGGGTGACATGTGAGCCCCGCCGCCCGGATAGCGTCCAATGTGGCCTGTACGTCTTTCACGTGCTGCGCCGCGTTCGGGCTGAAGACGACGACGTCGCCAATGTAGCATGGGGCAGCAGGGACATCGCGAAGCGTCGTGTCCATAGCTCTCTGAAACAGCACGGGCGCATTCTTCATTCCGAACGGCATGAAGCGCCACTCGTACAGGCCATCCGGCACGTGGAAGGCCGTCCTTTTCCGGTCTGCTAGCCTGATGGGAATCTGGTTGAATCCCTGGCGCAGGTCCAGGGTAGAGAAGACAGTGGCCCCTTGCAGCTTATCGAAGATCTCTTCGGCTGACTGCATGGGGTACCTGTCGGCTACCGTGACCTTATTGAGGCTCCGATAGTCCCCACACATCCTCCGCGCCGATACTGCTCCCGTCAAGTTCTTCCGTGATGCTATTACTGTCGCAGCAGCATAGTCGCTCTCCGACCGTTGGATCAGCCCGGCTTCCAACAGCTCGTGACATTTCTCCAT